CCATCTTCACTCACAATTTACGCCAAGCACAAACCTTTACGCCATAGGTTTATCCTCCGACAAATACTCTTCAGGAAAGATCCGTCGCCTAGACTATGTCTCACCGACATACGGCACGTTGTAAGTGTGCAGAACTTCGTCTCAAAAGCCTTGTCCCGCGTCTAATCAATTACACCTGGTCACAGCATCGAACTAGCAGCAAGGCTCCTGCACAACAGACCGTTCCGGACGTCCAGTTTCCTCCGCATCCGACCACTTCCGTCGCCAATTTCCGAAGGAATGATTCTTTGCGATGTTGCAAAGTTATCTGCGTCCTATACTTCCATATGCTTTTCGCCTTACTGTGTTCTACACACTGCGTCATTTATCGTATCCAGGCATTCGCGCATCGATAAAGCTCGCCACACAGCGTTTCGTGTGGCGCAACGTCTACCGAGTCGTTAGTCAATGGGCCCGTACATGTAATCATTGCCAACAGTCAAAAATTTAACACCATGTAGCCTCACCTATTAATTGTTTTCCGATAGTCATCTCTCGACTCGCCCCCATTCACATGGATATCGTCAGTCCCTTTCTACTCTCAAACGGCATGGTCAACCAGTTGACAATCACTGACTGCTTTGCCAGGCAGTCAGAAGCAGTTCCGCTGCCAAAGGTTAGCACGGAGATCGTTCGAGCAATCATGAGTCGCTGGGTCTCTCTGTACGGTTGTCCAGTAACCGTAAAGACAGAGGACCACAGTTCGAGAGTGCACAATTCCAAGAGACGCTAAAAATTTCAGGCTGCCGACATTCCCCTACTACCTCCTACCATTCACAATCGAACGGTATGGTGGAGCGTTTCCGTCATCAACTAAAAGCAGTCTCACTGCAGTCGACCCTCCTCAATGGACAGAGATTTTACCTTCATTCATCATAGGCATACGCGGTAGTGTCAAGATCGAGTTGCAGGCATGTAGTGCCGAACTTTTCGGTCAATCATTTTGTCTACTTGGAGATTATTTTTCTACAGTTTCAGACAATGCCTATGACGCTTCTTTTGCGAAGCAACTCACGTCACACATGCGTCGCTTCGCATCTACTGACACCCCTGTCCCGAGCCAGAAAACGATTGTACCGCCGGAACTTCAAACTTGTACGGACGTATTCGTACAAGTTGACGGCGTCAAGCGATCCCTGGCCTCGCCATATGAAGAACCATTCAGAATTCTCCAGCAGAACGACAAAGTATTCGTCACTGATCGCCAAAGGAAGCGTAAGTCAGCGACTATTAGCCGCTTAAAAGTTGCTTATATCGAAAGCGAAAATGTTCCTACAAAGACGTCTGTTCCTCCACCAACAATGTACAGTCCTATCAGCTCAGCTGTCCGCTGAGACCCCTTCCAACACCGCCAAGTGCATCGAAAACAACTGGATCTGGTTAACAGGTATATTTCTTTCGTCATTTTGAGCAACCAATGCATGTTTATGCTTAGACCACAATAACCGTTTTTGAAAATAACAAAAAAACAGTAAAATGTTTTGAAACCACCAAAAAAAGAGTAAAACGCTTTGAAAACCCCCACAAAAATATCATAAGGTTATGTTATTTTCGCACTTATGATTGCCATGCATCACTGTCACTACCATTTTCCATTTGCTTTCTATGTACGCCTGTCAACTCGGTCGCACGTTCATGACGGAGCCGGACGCACCAACTTGTGCATTGAACATTTCTTATCGGACTCCTACCCCCTACTAACCGTCCTTGCAAACCTTTTCCCGTTTCGATAGCGTTAGGGAGGACACGGGTGGGAGCCCGCTTGGATCCGATCGCCTGGTTCTCCCCAATCAGGTTTCACCACCTGGTCTCACAGAAGGCTGTCCCGCGACGGATAAACCTCACGTGGATCGAAGGACTGTTTACACAGTTCCTTCTGGGGGATGGCTTGCAGCAGTCTGGAGATTCCCACGGATTGCCTGAGTAGGTTGTGTAAAATAGTAAATAAAATTATCATATCGCATACTTAGAGTCTGTTTGCATAGTGCTGACATGTATGCTGCACTTGTTGGTCTGACCCAACATACAGGCGATATACACACACGGCGTCATGGTTGGATTCAACACGCCGCTCCATCGCGCGGTCCCTCACATCCTTCTCTAGCTAGCTCGCGTCGTTCGGTGTCGATCTTTTAGCCAATACACGGAAACACTGCACCACAATACACCCGTCCCGTCACCCGTGCCTTATTTAAAACCCCTGGAAACCACTCCCCAATAGTTTGTTAGCATGGGCCGGTCACTCTCGCTACGATTGAGACACATGCAAACGACCGACTATGATGGTTTCCCTGGACTTGAATGTCGCTTTCGACCATGTCGACCGCGCCAGCTTGTGGTACCAATTATCCATGAAGGGCGTACCAGTAAATTCCTTTGTATTCTGAATTCTCTATCGTGACTCCCGTGGTCGTGTAAGGGTGTGCAAGATGCTGGCTCTTGAGTTCCCCTTATCTCATTTTCTCTTCAACTTTGATCGAAATGATCATGAACCAATCGGTTCTTTTAGATTCTACCGGAGTGGAAGTTCTGCCATGTGACCAACTGACAAATCTGGTCTAGGTGGACGATATAGCTCTTCTTTGGTCTGCAGCAGTAGGTATGCAAGCATCATCATCATCATCATCATACACGTTAGCTAGAGGTGGGGAACACCTCAGCTACTGTGCCGCAATATATAGAAAAAAGGAGAGAAAAAAGCAACTGGTGCGAGCTGGCTGAGCTACCGGTAACGGATGGGCATCGTTCCGGTAAGCTACCAGCCGGCTGCTGTGCACCAAAAAAAGTACTATGCACAACTATAAAACGCTAAATGATGAGATCGTGGTTGGAAAGGGAGGCTAAGAGGGATAGGGTTGGACAAAGACACTCACAGCACGAACGCCAATGAAGTGGGTATGCAAGCACTCCTGGACAGACTGACATGTGGCGCTGCATGTTACGGTATGTATCTTGAACCTTCAAAATACAAAGTACTGCTGCAGGGCTGGTACGACACACCTCCGTTTTTGTGATTGCCGAACAGCCAATGAAATTGGTAGACTCGCTCAGGTGCCTCGGTCGCTTTGTCACCCCTGGCGGTCACATCGCTGAGGTTACTTCGTGTATCAACAAGGCCCGTGTGGCTTTCCAGGGGCTCAACCATCTATGGAGACGGCAGGATGTCAGCCTGTTAGCAGATAGGGTGGACAACGCGGCGGTAAGGCCGGTGTTATTACATGGATCATAGACCTGACCAGTTCGCGGCAAAAACATTAAACGCTTGGCCTGCTTGGCTACCGGTGCCCGCGGAGTATTGCTTGCGTCTGGTTGGAACCCCGGTGAGTACTGCTGAGGTCCGCCAGTTGGTTTTTGGCAAGAGGCCTTCTGGTGTCTCACTCGAGTGTTTGCTGAATCTTAAGCGTCTATGTTGGCTACGCCATGTCTTTCGTATGCCCGTTGATCGGCTTTCTCGGCGTATATTATACGCTAAAGCTGCATCAAGTCGAGCGAAACCGCGGAGTTCAGTAGATAAGGTAGCATAAAATCGTGAAGGAATTGACTGAGCTTTGGTTAGGCTGGGAACAGCAAGCCGGTTTCCGCCCAGGACGTGGTTGGATAGACCATATATTCACTTTGCGGCAAGTGCTAGAGCAACGCCACGCATACCGCAAATCGACAATAGCTGTGTTCCTCGATTTCAAGAGTGCGTTCGATTCAGTCGATCGATGGATTCTGTTCGAAATACTTGTGCGAAAAGGTTTTCCCAGGAAATAAGTGTTACATCCTACGTACTCTATACTCGAACACTACAGGCCGCGTCAGAGTCTACGGTGGCCAATCGGATAGCTTTCCGACTACAAGTGGCGTTTGTCAGGGTTGTCCGATATCCCCAGTTATGTTCAATTTCATCGTGGACTCTATCATGGAGTGTTTCCTTGCGGAATCTCACGATGTAGGCGTTAAGGTCCTGCCTGGTGAAAGATTAATTGATCTTGATTATGCGGACGATATCGTCTTGCTTTTCGACGATTTTGCGGCGGCACAGTGAACCCTGAATAGCCTGTCCAGAGTGGTCCCATTATTTAGTACGCACTTCGTACCTTTAAAGTGCAGAGTGTTGCTGCAGGACCACCAGCCACTTCATGACCCCTTGACCCTTGCTAACGAGGAACTCAAAGTGGTTCATCAACTCACTTATCTTGACAGCTCCATCAGCAACGATGGACACATAGAAACTGACGTCAACTAACGCATTGCATAGGCCAGGGCTGACTTCTTGAACCTGCGGCATCTTTGGCGACAGAAAGGAGTTACCCTCTATCTAAAAGGCCGTGTATACAAGGCCAGTTAGATTCGTCCTGCCCTATGGTAGTGAGACTTGGCTCCTTCGGTCCGAAGATCTGAGGCGCCTCCAAGTCTTTGATCATCGTTGTCTGCGAAGCATTGCTGGTGTCGGATGGTACCAGCGTGTCCGCAACGATGATGTGCGTAGGCCAGTACTAGGTAGTGATAATCATGCCAGCTCCCTAGAACAACAGATAGCGCTGAATAAGTTGCGTTGGCTGGGGCACGTGTTACGCATGCCTGGTCACCGCTTACCTAGGAGGGCCTTGTTCAGTCTACCAGGGGTAGGATGGCGCAAGGCTCGAGGTGGACAGAAGTTGACTTGGCAGCGAGAAATGAAGTCACTGACAACCAAACTGGGTGCCGTTGGTCAATCTCAACTTCCGGGCTGGAGTCCATGTGACTCACCTTGTGCTTGGCTGGACTTTACAGGACATGATTCGCAACCGACACCAGTGGCGCGTCTGCTGCCGTCTCCCAATCGGATTGCTTTTTTAAAGAGTGTCTGGTACTAAGTTATCTGCGGGGTTGTGGCTGATTATGAAGCGGGGCAATGAAAGCCGCAAGGAAGCTGCTTCGCCAATGCCGCCTTATCATTGCACAATAGCTAGCTGTTTGTGACGGTATGTTGTCTACACAAGGTGTAGGCGCCTTGACCCTGAATGTTTGCTTAGGGTATTAAGGTTTTCAGGTAAGTCCACCTTCTCTCCCTCTTATTATTCTTTGTTTCATAGGTCATGATGGTTGTATGGCAGTGAAGCAGCAGTTCAAATGGTTGATGTACTGCTGTTGTTGACGATGGTGATGAGGCTGGTGCATGCCGTCTTCGTAAATGGTGGCCTCGGGATGGTTCACACCAACTGTTGTACATCTTATCAGACAGGGCGCAGCCACGCAGTCAGTGGCGTTCCTGCATTTGGTCTTTTGCATCTGGTTGTTAACTTTAGTTCCATTGTGATTACTTTAAGGTACTTTTTTCTTGCATCCACTTTTTACATTCTATTTGCATTCAACCGCACTACGTTGTCTTTGTCAGTTAGTGTTTTTCTTACACTGGATCCACCGCACTTCGGTGCCCGGATCATAATACTTAAACGGAATTGAACTGACAGCTTTAGTCCCAGATATAAAGAGAAGATCGTGTTGCAAGAAAAATGTGCTGCATTTACAAAGGGGATATACACCATACCGTCCTATGAAGAGAAAGGAAATGATAGGTGATTCTACCATCGCTTATGCCACGAGGTAGAAAATAGGATGAAGCAGCAATCTTGAGTTCAGTCTCAAACAAAAAGGCCCGTAGCCTAAAGGGAACGAACTTATCTTGTAGTCCGGTGGCGCGGGTTCGAACCTGCATAGAAGCAGGGAGATTCTCGCAGCACCCCTTGCCCTAGTGCAACTGGTGGTGGTCGCGCGGTAGAGAAACGTCAGTACTGCATACCGGCGTATTGCTGATGTCTTCTTCAGTCACAAACAGCAGGCGATCAAAATCGCCTGAAGCTGTAGAATCAACGGCGAAAGCTTCGTTATATTCGTTGATGGATAGCACTGTGGAGGCTAAATGCAACCGTTTGTTGGATAGGACAATGCATGATCAAATAAAAGCGCAGAGTTGCCATACTGGCAGCACAACGATTAGGGCAGCTGGGCTTGAACAAATGAGTAAAACGGTCGACGGAACTGGCAGAAAACGAGGTAAACCAAGATTGAGAAATCGGTGTTCCGGGTTCTTGTGAGTCACCGCCGCCGCAGTGACGCACAAGAACCTGTGTTGCTTCTCAGTCTCCGGTTGTCGAAATGCAGAATGATCTAAACAGTTCCAAAAAACGGGTTATCTCCTCGGACGTAAAACCTGATAGCAAACGCAAAACAAAAGTACCGGAGAGAAAAGAACAAATTGAGGAGTTGAGAGTATGGTATACCAATTGTTGCAGCATAAGGAATAAGTGGGAAGAGTTGACAGTAAGCTGTAAGCTTGCTGACGTAGTTGCGGTCAGCAAGACCTGCGTTCTCACATTTTCAGTGAATACCAAGAGAGTGTCGGCTGGATCTCGACTGGTGAGAAAATTTCGGCCGCGTCAACTCTCATCAGTTACGGGTTAGAGCTCTACAAATCAACTGGGCTCCTGAACAAGCGGAAGGCACTTTAGAACATGGATGGAGTGTAATCAAAGATGGAATTGTTCAACTGTTGGACGAATTAGCTCCATTGCGCTGCAATAAGCATCCCAATAAGCCCCGTTGGTGGAGTCGGCGAACTGATGGGGCAATAAAGAAACCCAACGATTCTTGGAAAAAGTTTCAGGAAACTGGAGGGTTTAAGCGTTGGTAATACTATGAAAGATCCCGGAACTTGGCAGTCAAACTGCAGAGACATGCGAAATACTGCTATGGGCTAAGGCTTGCCCAGAATGCAAAAACAAATACGAAGATATATTATAGTTATGTTCCATCGAGGGAGAGAGAGGGTTTGTAACTTAATCATGGAGGACGGTTACCACGCTACAGATGATGCGGATAAGATGCAGGTGCTGCTGCGTGCTTTGCAAAAGGTAAATCATGTTGACAGTTGCTGTCCTATCACATTGCATCCTCATCGTTAAGTTGAGAGCATAATGTAAAATGCCCCACTAAGTACATCCGAGGTTCACAATGTCTTGACACACTTAGACCACTACAAATCGGCTTGACCTGATAATGTGTATCCTGCTATCATCAAGCCACTTGCTATAATACTACAGTATTGTGTTTTGGATTTGTACATGTCGGGCGGAAGTCATGCCTTACCAAACTTTCACCCTTCTTACATGAGATAACTCATTGTCTTGATGATGGTATCTCTGTCGAAGTTTGCTATTTATACTTCAGTAAGGCTTTTGATTGCGTCAAACCGTTTCGTATTTAAAAAGTTGTCATGGTTTCGGATACATCCTCAGAGATTGAACTGTGTAGCAGAATTTCTTGGCAAGTGAACCTTCCGAGTTAGAATCGGTGACTGCTGCTCAAGTGGGAGTGCCGCTCACAGCGGTGTTCCTCAGGGTTCTGTTTTAGGTCTTCTATTGTTCTTTTATATATCAATAATTTGGCTCCGCTCCTAGAGAACCCTTGCTGTTTTTGCAGACGACATAACTTACAACCAGAGGCGATCGAGGCACGTTGTCAAACGATCTTTGCACTGTAGCGAGGTGATCTCCCTTATGGGACTTGCCCCTTAATGCAAGTAAATGTCAGTTATTGTCCTCAAGCAACGATGGGGTTACAGTGCAAACTACTGCCAGTACCCTGATGTTGCAGCCCGTTGATGAGGCTCCACATTTGGTTATCCTTATATCGAATAAGGTCAAAGTCTCAGGACATTGTCAGCATGTCGCCAACAAGGAGCGGCAGGAATTATTTCGTCTCAAGAGAACGTTATGCAACGCCAAACCAGAGGTTCTCCTCCCAATATATAAGGCGCTGGCAACACCTCAATTCTAGTATTGTGTGCAGGCATGGGTGCCGTATCTCAGGAAGGATGTGACCTGCATAGAAAAGGTCTAAAACTGGCGACTAGGATGATTTATAGCCAGCGCGGGAAAGCATATGATGAACGCCTAAGGATTGCTAGGATTGTACTCTATAGAGCGGCGCATAGTACGAGGTGATCTGATAAAAATGTTCAGAAGTATGAAGGGCCTCAATGGGATCAAGCTCTCCGATTTGTTTGAAGTTGCTGCATCCGACCACCTATGCGGGTATGAACTTAAGAGTAAGTATCAGAGGTCCAGGATGGAGATTAGGGAAAAGCTCTTTGCAAATCGCGTTGTTCATAGTTGGAACAAGATTGCTTTTGCCTTAATTGAAAATGTCTTCAAAAAGGCCTGGAAAAGCACTGGTCGGATCTTCTTCCAGAATTATTGTAAATTTATTAGCAATCGTCAAAGACCTTGAAGACCATGATCCAAGAAGGTACAGAGGTTGCTCTTGCCTTGCTTTATTTCTTTTATATAAGCAAGGAAGACAATCCAGAAGTCGTAGTACTGGGGGCCCTAGTTTGCTTTCGGGTACAAGAAACAGGGCGCTCGTTGGACAGGAGCTTATTTTCATTTCTGAAAGCTGACCTGACTTGACCTGCTATTTGCAGCTGAGCTTGTAGTACTCTGTAGCGAAGAAGTTATGACTACAAAAATAGTCTCAGTCAGAACTCAATCGACTTAGACTAAATTAGTCACTGACCCACTAAGCTTCGAACTGCGAATGATTTCCCAGTCTAGTGGTATGATCCGGCGTATAACGTAAAGCGAGCAGTGCGATGGTTCCTAGCCGTTGAGCGAAATCCACCGTGCAGAGTAAACATGATGCATGTAGTAGACCGGAGCGACAACGCAGCAGGAGATTCGAAATTTAATGTGTTGATCGAGTCAAATAAAACAAGCTACACAAGAATGAAGCTGTTAAGCGCAAGCTGGACGAAGTGCGGATCGTCACGCAACAAGACGATATCATCAGCGTAATCCAAATCAACCACACGACTACCTGAGAGGAGCTCAACGCCCGCGTTCTGCAAGTCTTCTAGTGCAATGTTGAGGACATCCTCAATGGCAAAAGTGAAGAGGAAATGAGGGATAGGGCATCCTTGTGGAACCACACCGGTGACAACAAAGGAAGGTGAAAGTTTGTCATCAGTCTTAACTCTAAGCGACGTCAGACTACACAGTGCACGCAAAACGGAAACGCACTTTCTGGGAATGCCATTCCTCAACAGACAATGCCACGAGAAACGGGCAAGAGACCTGGCGTTAGTGAAAATATATATGACGAGAGTGGACAGCCTATCATCAACGTGCCAAAACGCTTTGAACGTTTGGATGAGCAGTTTAAAAGGCAATTTAATCGGCCGGTAATGTCAGATTTCTCGCCGGTCACTGATCACGCTGCTTCGTGGGCTGTCTCTCGAACGAGAGATCGAAATGCTGAAGTTGAATAAAGCCGCGGGAGCAGGTGATCTCCCTCCAGCCCACTTCAAATTCGGGAGCCCTGCTATGACAGATGATGTACACGAGTTACTAGTGAAACTGTGGGAGCAGGATACTGTCTCGACAGACTGGAGCCACTTCGTTATAGTCTCAATTTGCAAGGGAGACTCACGATCGGAATGCGGCAACCATAGAGGAACCAGTCTGACCTCCATCGCCTCCAAAATGCTTGTCTCTGTCATCTTTCACAGACTGACTGGCATTCGTAAAAGCCTGATTCGGGAAGAACAAGCCGGGTTTCGTCAAGGTCGAGGCTGCATCGAACACAGTCCCAAAGGTCATATCGACCAACTGAATCGAAGGCAACTTTGATATCGGCAACCAATGCATGGGCCACCAAGGTATGTGATGGTGAAAGACTTCTCATCATCATCACCAACAGCAGTACATCAGACATTTGAACTGCTGCTTCACTGCCATACAACCATCATGGCCAATGAAACCAAGAATAATAAGAGGCAGAGAAGGGGGATTTACCTGAAAACCTTAATGCCCTAAGCAAACATTCAGGGTCAAGGCGCCTACACCTTGTGTAGACAACATACCGTCACAAACAGCTGGCTATCGTGCAAAGATAAGGCGGCATCGGCGAGACAGCTTCCTTGCGGCTTTCACTGCCCCGCGTCATAATCAGCCATTAACCCGCAGAAAACTCAACACCAAACACACTTTAAACAGACGATCCGATTAGGAGACGGCAGCAGACGCGCCACTGGTGTCGGTTGCGAGCCATGTCCTACAAAGTCTCCAGCCATGCACAAGGTGAGTCACATGGACTCCAACCCGGAAGGTGAGACGAACCAACGGCACCCAGTTTGGTTGTCAGTGTCTTCATTTCCCGCTGCCAAGTCAACTTCTGTCCACCTCGAGCCTTGCGCCATCCTACACCTGGTAGACTGAACAAGGCCCTCCTAGGTAAGCGGTGACCAGGCATGCGTAACACGTGCCCGAGCCAACGCAACTTATTCAGTGCTATCTGTTGTTCTAGGGTGCTAGCATGATTATCACTACCTAGTACTCGCCTACGCACATCATCGTTGGGAATACGCTGGTGCCATCCGACACCAGCAATGCTTCGCAAACAACGATGATCAAAGACTTGAAGGCGC